GAGTTGGCGGTGGGTGGTGATGACTAGTTGCCTTCCCTCTAGTCTTTCACTGCTAAATTAGGGACGGCTAGCGCAGATAGCCCTCGTGTAGCTTTGAGCCAAGTTCAAAATTGATGTAGATTTAAATATCGAATCTCAAAGCTTCGCAGAGTCCTATGTTCGCAGTAACCTCATTTAAGGATATACTTCATGGGCTGATTCAGAATGACGGAAAGCATAATGAATATCTTCTATTGCAGCTTCAGAAACTCTCTGTACAATATCCAAACTTTCCTGAATAAAACTTGTGATTTTCTATGTGCCTCCGGTTACATTTTCTTCCCTTTGACAAGAACTTTTTAACTATTTGAAATACGGGTTTCACTTTCTAATTATTACCTGGTGTGTGTGTGTGTTAAACGTTTAGAGCAAACAATCTTCTTTTGTAACCGCATACGTTTCTTTCCCATAAAATGATCTAAATGATATTTTGTATTATCGTAATTTTCCAGGATATTTGTTTGTTTGAGAATTTTTTGCGCAAAGCCATCCAAGGACTACCTGCAAGCAGATTATATTAATTTTGAACTGATACGCCTAGAAGGAAGGAACCCACGGTCCCGGAGTGAGGAACGTGTTTTTGCGGCAACTGGGCGCGAACCACGAACTCCTGGATCCTCTACTCGGTCATACTAACCATAAGCCATTACTAGGTGTAGCTACAGTTGTATAGTAGTAGTCTTTATATGAAACTCCAATTAAATTTCTTCTACTATTTAAATTATATTTCTGTTTTGTTTTCTTAAGAGTTTCTCTCTAGCCATTGGTCCGTTCATTCTGAGAATGAAAGTTACTGCGGGAAATCGAACCCCGGATTTTAGAAATGCTAGTCTCGAAACTTACCTCCGAGGGGGAGACATCGATTATTGACAAACGATTCTCTGATTTAACGATACATGTTTTTCCTTAATAGCGAATCATATTTCCTCGGATCATCATCATTCAAGCACCAATATTAAAGTAACAGATCGTGTGAAAAGTCTGAGAACCAAGTACATTATTATCTTTTCAAAGGTAAAACCGATTTCAGAATTCTCCAAGCAACATTAAGGTATTAGACAACAGACGGTAGCGATGATTAATTGTTACTAAACAATAACGATACAACTTGTATTTTCTTACAGACCATTCGCTGTGAGAAATATGGACTAGGTTTAACCAAACAAGGGTTTGTATGAAAAGACAAATCCTACGATTAGTCATTTCATGTTTAACGGGTTATTAACAATGGACAGATGTGGGAATTACTATTAACTATTATAAACAAAGTTTTTTTGTTAAATTTTGGACTAAAACACAGTGAAATATTTCAAAGGAAACAGTCGCCCAGTCTTACACAACACTGTATTTTTGTTTCTTAAGGTTACTATTCTTTTACATTGTGACCATAACACACACTATAGGTGCTTTTTCCTTTTAAACTTATTTCCAAAACAGCTAAGTCGCGACTTTTTTCAAACTAAAATCAACAAAAAATTAATCAACGAACAATTTCTTTAAGCTTACCATTCACCCGTAACTACGACAAAACTCGTGATTTCAAAATAGCCATACTCACCTTTTTGACTATGATGTACAAACGTAACTTCACATCAAAAAAAAAGAAGTTCTTAGTCAGACAACGTTTTCACTGTTCCAATACGCAAGTGCGTATACGGAGGTCTTCTCTTGCACTTGCTGAAAAAATAAAGGATCAAAACATTAAAATCATCAAAAGAACATATCATAAGTTAGTGTTGTAAAAATTTAAATAACACGTTAAGCTAGCTTATTTGAAATTGCTAAACCTATTTTAAAGGCACATCTCAAGAAGAAAAAATATACAATGAATATACACCAGAAGCTCATTCCACCCCCACTCCGTCAACAAAATACGTCTTTAACACCCTCCAATTCACGCATATCTATGTGTGACCTCACACTGTCTGGTCAGATATGTTCTCCCATGGAAACAAACCCGCAATTTTTCTACGAAAAACGTCACTGATATAATTTTTACATAATGTTGAAACTTAACTCATCAAGGTTTTATTGCTGGACAGGTGCTCACAAGAACGTGTGAAGCCCAAAAGGAGTAAAATTTGACATAATTTGTGCCCATGGGAAGATTTACACTTGTGCTCTCAAAAGCTTCTTGAATCGAGTCATTCATTAGTGAAAAAAAACGTTTACATCTATAACTCTACGGCATAATTCTGTCGCGCAAAGTATCATTTTGAGATTAAAAGTCTCCATGACTTATTTTAAATTTGGTTGAGCGTGGCCGGACATTGAATTCGAGGATTTATGATTCGCTTCCTGTTGCCTCAAGAGTAGTCCAAGAGCTGTTGACTAGCTACCTTCCTCTTAATCATGTATTTTACGGACGGCTTTGCGCAGTTAACCCTTTGTATGGCCTTGCGCGAAAATTCTACAACAAGCTTTATAAATTTCTTATGTCACTATTAACACAGTAAAGTTGTTCACATGTATGATTTTGTACTAATTACTAACAGCATTACAACGTTTCAAAGATGGTACCTCACACACAGTTCCATTAAAAAACCGAGACCACCAGGATTCTTGTATACCCATTTCTTAATTTTGAACTACTGAAACGAGGAATGGCTGTATTCCAACAGCACCCCCTCCGTAAGTGCTGAGACCATCTTCTTGAACAGATTTTTTAGATTGACTGTCGCTATTATTACACACCCATATCTGATCACATTCGGCGACATCACTTCTCGTACCCTACGGTACTCAGCCCGATATGTTAACCACTAGTCAGCACAGCCAAGTAATTCAAGGCTTTCCTTGTTAATTATATGAAACTTCTGAGCTAGATGTTCTTCTACTAATGGCATCCTGGAAGTATAAGTACACACACACACACATATATATATTAGTAACACGTTTCTTGTTAGTTAAAAGAGCAGAAATGCTTATACGTGTTTAAACTATACTAATCCGATTCAAGACCTTCAGTTTCATGTTATTTGTTCATACAGCATTACGTTTGCGTTCAATGTTTTTACGATTTTTATGAATTATTAAGCAAATTTCAAGCTATGTTCCGGGGTTGTAAAATATATAAAATTGTTAATGCTATGCTGTTAACAATTTTTTATACGTTATTTTTCGGATCTCCCCGATGTACAGGTTTGTATATTCATTATTCACAGGCCTCGCCACTTTATTCACAAATTTAAAACGCAAAAGTATAGAAAGGTGATACTCATATACTTTAAGGTAAAACTTTACCAAGATCATGTTAACATACTTTATTGATGTCTATAAACAAAATCTCAATGTATTTGACAGTACAGATTGTCAAAAATTACATTTTCAAACTTATTTTTACACACTTTAGTAAATATTATACTTACACACATTAGTGTTCAGGCCAGTAAAAAGTTATACTTACACACATTAGTGTTCAGGCCAGTAAATAATTATACTTACACACATTAGTGTTCAGGCCAGTAAA